AAATTGGTCAGTTTTGTTTGATAAAAAATGAATCAATCAAAGATTCGATCATGTCCAAAATAACCGGTACCAATGACCAATTCACATTATCACGGGACAGTGATTTCAATATGTATTCTTATCATGACAGCAGACGGACAGTAAATCATTATGTTAACATCTATTGTATAAAAAAAATCAATTGATTGATTCGATTGAAAGAAATGAGTACGAAACTTATCTATAAGAAGACTAGTACATAGTACATTTGTGACATATAGGCACTCGAGTTCTTTTTTTTAATTAATAATGAATAACGGCGCTTTTTTGTTATCATTTCAATTGATGAAATCGTTCAACTCGGAGGAGTGATCTTCCTTTACAAATGAAACGAATTATTGACAAGATATTTTTGTAAATTTCGTATATTCCCTAATAAGATTATAAAAATAGTAGAAAACTAACTTAGGAACACACTGGGTATAAGAGAAACTATAAATATTATAAAATTTCATTTTATTCAGCGATTATTCACTCAACGTCTAATTCACCAAATGTCCGATTAATGTAAAGATCACGATGAAGATGCAGCGCTTTTCAAAATAAGTGCATGATATTTGCCCAAGACTACTTCAGTTGCTTTCAATTTGGCACTGCAAATAGAAGGAGGAAAATAAAAAATATTTTTTATTATTTTACCACCATTCAATTTTCCCATCCTTTTCTCACTTCCAACAAATAATAACGGAGCGATAAGTAATTTAGATAACGCAAAAAAAAAAAAAAAATAACAAGTTAGACATATGAAATGATACAAAAGACACGTGAAACAGGCGTGAACCACTTACCCTTGTTCATGACATGAGTCAGAACTGACAGCTGCCAATTCAAATGATTTTTAGTGTGCACATTATGGCCACCGTTAAATGTCAATTTTGGCCGCGAGACTTAGTAATGAAATAACTTAAAATATTTGGCTTGGAATTCAGAAAAATAATTCTATATTAAGCCCCCTCCGCTATTTATTTTAATTTAACTTGGCTGAGGCTTTGGAAAAATGGGAGAGAGGGTTTAAAATGGAACCCAAGACCTTCACGCGCGCTCGTTCAGTGTTGTGTTCCATTCAAAACCCTCTCTCCCATTAATTTTAATTTGTCTTGGCTAAGGTTTTTGAAAAATATGCACGAGATTAGATTTAAAACGGTGGCCAAAAATGACTTTTTGTGAAATACATTTTGACCACCATAAAAAAAATCATTTTGGCCGTGTGGCCAAAAATGATTCTTTAATAAATACATTTTGGCCACCGTGAATTTTACTTTATAGCCAACGAAAAAATATGCGTGGCCATAATGCGGGGCGCCGAAAATCCCTAGCAAATCGGAAGAATTTTCTCGGTCAAAAAAAAAAGGCAAAAAAGGTCTTCATTGCCAAAATTGTTAAAATGGTATAAATTCAATAAGTTTTGCAATAGTAATAAAGGAAATAATTAATAGAATTTATTATAAATAAAAAAAAATGGAAAAACACACAAATATTTTATATTATATGATTCTCGTATTATGAGGTAACTTTGCCTTGTAGACCATGTAGAGATGGTTACGTGGAGAAAATATGTATTTGTCAAACATTGATATCTGTCAAAAGAAACAACGTAAACAACACGAAGTCAATATTAATGTATTGGTTTTCCGGTTTTTTGAAAAAAAAAGAGCTGTCAACATTTTTAATTTTTAATTTGCAATAATTACAATAATACCGATAGTTCACCAGAAAAATATTCACTTCGTGTTGTTTACGTTGTTTCTTTTGACAGATATCAATGTTTGACAAATATATAAACGAACACCCAAATGTGTAAAGTTTCCCTTTCGTTTGTATTGGGACTCAGAGATGGCGCTCGCAAAATCCAACCGCCTTGAAAACCCATCATGAGTGAGAGTTGATACGATGCTTTGGATTTAAGATGAAGAAATGGCACTTTTCAAAATAATTGCGTCGTATTTGCCCAAGACGACTTTGGTTGCTTTCAGTTTGGCACTGCAAACAGAAGAAAAAACAATTTCTTTATTTTTACCACTATCATTCCTTTTCTGTACTTATTTTCTCTTTAGCAATAAGTAATAACGGAGCGATAGGTAATTTAGATAGCGCAAAAAGCAAGATCGAAATAGAAAATGAAACGAAAGGCACGTGAAATATGCGTGAACTACTTACCCTTGTTCATGACATGAGTCAGGACTGACAGCTGCCAATTCAAATTCTTCTGGGAAGTTTGTGCCCAAATTGCTTTGTGTCATATCGATTTTCTCTGCACGATCACCGAAATTGATGAGAACCCAATAAGTGTCACTCCCTTCAAATTCTCTGCAAACAAATCAATTCATTACTAGTCTGAATCTGAGGAATCTCTTTTCTCTTTGGATCTATCTTACCTGACATAAGCGAAAACATTTTCATTCAAAACAGTCGAGTTGAACGAACCGGCGGCAAATGCGTCTTCTTTACGGAGTTCAACTAGGCGCTTGTAGAAATTCAATGTGCTACGTGGATTTTTTTTTTGTGCAGCCACATTCAATTCTTTATAATTTACATGAATTGGCAACCATGGTTTGGCTGTTGCATTCTGCGGCATGAAACCAGCAAACTTCGTTGCATCCCATTGTAATGGTGTGCCTATAAAATGGACTTTCATTAATTTCTGTGAGTTTCGAAAATTCCGTAAGAAAATCACTTACGTGCTGGATCTCGCGACCGTTCCATCCAGTTGGAAGTGGGGTCAAGTACTGTCACTTGTGGGTCAGCTGTTTCGCTGAATGATATGTTTCGATTATCGATCATTCCGATCTCTTCTCCATAATAAGTAACTGCAACGCCTGGCAAAGTCAGCACCAATGCGTTAAATCCATCGACTCTACGTTCTGGATAACGTGATCCAATGCGTGGATGATCATGATTACCCATTTGCCAATTGGGTATTTTACCAGATGGAATAATATTTAAGCGATTGTCTATAACCGTTTTGACAGACTTAGCCGATGAATATCTTTTCATTGAAGAAATTAACACAAAATTAAATGGAATTTGTAAGCCTTTTTCTCCTTTACTGCCACCATAAAATTTCACAAAATCTGTATCGTTTGAATACGCCTCGCCCATTAAAACAAGCTCTTTTTCTGGATGTTCATTTTGGTATTTATCGACTACATCACGGAATTTGTAAACAATATCGAAGTTTTCGTGCAAATTTAAGGTATATTCGTGCGTTGTATACCAAAATGAATTTGGATCGGTTGTTGAACCGGAGAGAGGTTCGTCACGTAAATCTTCAAATTCAATCAGAAAATTAAGCGCATCCATTCGAAAACCGCTGGCACCTTTTTCGAGCCAGAATATCAGCACATCGTATAAGTCTTTTAACACGTCTTCATTGCGTAAATTTAGTTCCGGTTGTTCGGGTGCTTTAGTATGAAGAGAATGAACGAAAATAAACATTTGTTTTGACCATTTATTGTTGGGTTTTTCTTACCAAAGCAATGATAGTACCACTGATTTCGTTCTTCATTGTATTTCCAAGCTGGACCGTAGAAAATTGATACCCAGTTGTTTGGCGGCGATGTGTTATTGTTTTTCCCGTCGGCCCAAATGTAATAGTTTTCATATTTTCCTTCGCGTTTTACCGATTTTTTGAACCATTCGTGTCTATCTGATACGTGATTTGGCACAAAGTCCAAAAATATTTTCAAATTTCGTTTCGCTGCTTCGCGAAATAATTCTTCCAAATCAGCCATCGTACCAAATATCGGATCAATTTCGTAGAAATCTTCGACGTCGTAGCCAAAATCAACCATTGGACTCTATTTCGAAGAAAAAAACTTTTAGATTCAAACAAAAATCCAAACGAAATGCACAGGCTGTGCAGCACAGCATATGAAATTACTGAAAAAAATCCTCCTTGAAAATATGTCTACCTAATGGTCTACCAAAAATGGTCTCATACCTTGAAAATTGGTGAAAGCCAAGCGCCCGCAATGCCCAAATCTTTCAAGTAGTCTAATTCTTGAATAATACCTCGAATGTCCCCAATACCGTCGCCATTGCTGTCTTTGAATGAACGGGGATATATCTGATAAAACACGCCATTCTTCCACCAATCTAAATTTGAGTCGATTGTCTTATTTGGTTGCGGATATGCACTTATGGCCGCAACACACAACAATACAATGCAAATGCAATGAAACGTCTGCATTCTATTTATTCAATGAAACACACTCTCTAAATCTTTCTTGAGCGATGAAAATTGTTAATTGTAATTCACAATAAATTGTTTGAACAAAAAATTTCTTCGATTAATTTAAATTTTTGTCACTCGATTAGATTTTTGGAAATAATTCAGTAACAATTTTTTATTGCTTTCGATGTAAATCAAAATTAACGGTGAAAATGTCTGTGTTCCAATTGATGTTCCAAGCAAAACTGATACAAACTCGCATTATTTGATATCTCTTTATATCTCTTTGATGTCAACATGTTTGCGAAAAGTACTCAACATTTTTCTAGCGAATAATTCGTTGATGTTATCAATTTCGTTGATGATAAAGTTTGCACAACATTTTTCACCAACTCATGCATGGTCATCTCTTATTCTTTTTTGTC